CACCCTCAGACGGACGGACAGTCCGAGCGGACTATTCAGATATTAGAGGATATTCTACGCGCTTGTGTCATTGATTTTGGGGGTTCTTGGGATCAATTTCTGCCACTCGTAGAATTTGCTTACAATAATAGCTACCAGTCAAGCATTCAGATGGCTCCGTATGAAGCTTTATATGGGAGACGATGTCGGTCTCCAGTGGGTTGGTTTGAGCCTGGTGAGGTTAGACTATTGGGCACTGACTTAGTTCAGGATGCTTTAGAGAAAGTCGAAGTAATTCAGGAACGGCTTCGCACGGCACAGTCTAGACAGAAGAGTTATGCCGACAGGAAGGTTCGTGATGTTGTTCACATGGTTGGGGAGAAGGTTCTGCTCAAGATTTTACCCATGAAGGGTGTGTTGAGGTTCGGGAAGAAGGGCAAGTTGAGCCCTCGGTATATTGGGCCTTTTGAGATATTTAAGAAAATTGGGGAGGTGGCTTATGAACTTGCTTTGCCACCTAGTCTATCAGGTGTTCATCGAGTGTTCCATGTATCCATGCTCCGAAAGTATGTCGGGGATCCGTCTCACATTCTGGATTTCAGTACAGTACAACTGGACGGTAATTTGACTTATGATGTGGAGCCAGTGGCTATTTTAGACCGGCAGGTTCGAAAGATGAGGTCAAAGAATATAGCATCAGTGAAGGTGCAGTGGAGAGCCCAACCAGTCGAAGAAGCTGCTTGAGAGACTGAGCAGGAGATGTGGAACAAATATCCACGTTTGAGACTCCAGGTATTATTCTGAACCCGTTCGAGGACGAACATTTGTTTAAGAGGGGGAGAATGTAACGACCCGGCCGGTCATTTTGAATATTATAACCCCGTTCCCCCATTTTACTGCTCAAATTATGTCTTGCAATTGATTTATGACTTATCAGGTTAGTTGGTTTGGGTCTGGAAGAAATTCAGAATGAAATAAGACACTTAGTCTCATAATTAAAAATTTAAGTTAGAAAAATGGACCGGATATGGACCTATGTGTAAACAACCTCGGATTTGAATTTTGATGATTCCAATAGCTCTGTATGGTAATTTTGGGCTTAGGAGCATGTCCGAAATATTATTTGGAGGTCCATAGTGGAATTAAGCTTGAGATGTCGAAAGTTGAATTTTTGGGAAGTTTGACCGGGAGGTTGACTTTTTGATATCGGGGACGAAATCCGATTCTGAAAATTAAAATACCTCCGTTATGTCATTTATGACTTGTGTGCAAAATTTGAGGTCAATCGGACGTGATTTGATAGGTTCCGAAGTCGTTTGTAGAAATTAGAAATTTCAAAGTTCATTAGGCTTGAATCTATGTGTGATTCATTTTTTAGTGTTGTTGGATATGATTTGAAGGCTTAACTAAGTTCGTATGATATTTTAGGACTTGTTGGTACATTTGGTTGAGGTCCCGGGGGCCTCGGGTGAGTTTCAGATGGTTAACGGATCAAATTCGGACTTAGAAGAATTAGCTGAAGTTTCTGCCCTCTGCTGCAATCGCACCTGCGGAAATTCCATCGCAGGTGCGACCTCGCAGAAGCGATCCTGTCAAGCGCAGATGCGCAAATAGACTGTGGGGTAGTAGTCGCAGGTGCGAGGGAAATTCCACACCTGCGTGAGCGCAAATGCGGAGGGACGCGCGCAGAAGCGGCTTGCGCAGGAGCGCAAATAGGCGCTCAGATGCGGGCAAAGGCGCAGATGCGATACTTTTTCCGCACATGCGGTTGGCGCAGAAGCAGCCAAGTTGCCGCAGGTGCGAAAACCTCTGGGCAGTACAAAAATAGAGTGGTTCCGAGCTTTTGCCATTTTTGGGCATTTCAAGCTCGGGTTGGGCGATTTTGAGCAAGGTTTTCACGGGAAAACTTGAGGTAAGTCCCTTGTGATCATTTCTACTCCATAATATTGAATTATCATCAAATAATCCGACTAGATTACATGTTTTTGAGGTGTATATCAGGGGTTTTGAACTTAGGGATTTGAAATAAGAATTAATGATTTGGAGGTCGAGTTGATGTCGGATTTTGGTAAAATTAGTATAGTTAGACTCGTGGTGGAATGAGCTTTCGGATTTTGTAACTTTGTTGGGTTCCGAGACGTGGGCCACACGAGCGATGTTTTAACTAATTTTCGGATTTTTATGGAAAATCATTATTTTCTTATGGAATTAATTTCAATAAATTTTATTGACTGAAACGAATTATTTATGACCAGATTCGAGGCGTTTGGAGACCAATTCACGAGTAAAGGATATTGGAGAATAAGAATTTCACGGCTTGAAGTAAGTAACAGTTTTAAATCTGGTCCTGAGTGTACTAAACCCCAGATTTTGGTATCATATGATTATTTTGGAGGTGACGAACATGCTAGGTGACGGGCGTGTGGGCGTGCACCGAGGGGATTGTGACTTGGTCCGTCCCGAAAAACTGTAAAGTTGAATAATTTGTTGTTAGCTATATTCTCTCTATGTGTTGATAAAATTTGACTGTAAATCATGCTTAGGCTATGTGATAGTACTGTTGGGACCCACAGAGGTCGTTTACTTGTTGAATTGCCTGCTAAATGCTATATTTACTCAATCTCAATTTTTACTTGCACATTTTATCTCAGTCTTTGTTATCATTATTGATACATCATATCATGGTTGTTTGGGCTGATTTCATGATTATTGAGAGCCCGAGAGACTGGAGAGATTTATGACTGAGTGAGGCCAAGGGCCTGATTGTGAGATATTGATACTATAGCACGTGAGTTGTCCGTGCAGATTATAGCGCTTGGGCTGTAGGAGTCCCTCCGGAGTCGGTACATCCCCAGTGAGCGCGGGTACCCATTGAGAGAGTGATGAGGGCTGGGAGCCCAGAGAGTGATGAGGACTGGGAGTTCGGGGAGTAATTGTTGTCCTAAGAGGTTATACTTGATTTTCATTTGTTGTTGCACTTAGTTGCTATCTGTCATTGTTGAGAAATCTCTGAAAGATTATTGATATACGGGTTACATGAACAGGAACTGTGTAACAAAAAAATGATTTGACATTAAACTGCCAGATTTGATAGTATGTCTATTCTTTGCTGGAATTACTAGAAATAAACCATAACTGTGTAGCTCGTTACTATCTTCAGTTCCTTATTTATTATTGTTACTTGCTGAGTTGGTTGTACTCATACTACACCCTGCACTTCGTGTGCAGATCTAGGTATTTTTGGACATAGCGGGTGTTGATCCTTTCGCGCGGTTAATTTTAGGAGATTTTGAGGTAGCTGCCGTGTTCCGCAGACCTTGTCTCTCCTTCTCTATCTCTTTGTTTACCGTATTTGGTCTCAAACTATTATAGACTATATTTTTCAGACTTGTATTCATATTAGATGCCCATGTACTCAGTGACACCAGGTTTTAGGAGTGTTTGTATTGTATTTAAATATTATATTTTCAATCTTGAGAGAAATTATGATTTATTGAGATTTTCGGCTTGCCTAGTATTGAGATAGGCACCATCACGACGGGTGAGATTTTGGGTCATGACAATACTGGATTCTAAATTACAACACTGTAGCATATTTGGTTTGAATACTGCATTGTAAATTAGAATATTATTGTATGTTTGGTTTGATTTATGGAATGTTTGGTTTGAATATTGTATTCCAAATTAAAAAATTATGATATACTTAGTTTGAATAATGTATTTCAAATTATAATATTGTAATATATTTTGTTTGAATATTATATTCCAAATTAGAATACTGTAGTATGTTTGGTTTGAATACTGTATTCTAAATTAGAATATTATGACATGTTTGGTTTGAATATTGTATTCTTCATTAGAATAATATGATATGTTTGGTTTGATACTGTATTTCAAATTAGAATATTGTGATATGTTTAGTTTAAATATTGTATTGCAAATTAAAATATTATGGTATATTTGGTTTGGATTGTATTCCAAATTAATGTTACGGTATGTTTCAGAATATATGGGAAGATTTAGAGGTATAGAGTATAATACTTTTATAATATTTGATGTAATTTCAAAACTAAGGTATGCCACGAAAATGAGTCACATGGCAAATGAGTATACTATGAAACTTTCCCTTAATTCATTAAAGTGAAAATGTTACAAGTATAAATTTAGGTAGTGAGATCTTTCCTAGAAAGAAAGTAAAATAAAAATTACTGACAGCCTGAAAATTCTTTCAATGAGCACAAAGATGCACAAACACCCTGTGAGACTCAATAAAAAAATTTAAAAGGCACCTCAAACTTTCTTTGTTATGGTAGTGAGATCCTTCCTAGAATATGTTTATTATTTCTTGTTTAAGATTCTTTTTCTTAAGGTGCATGTGACTCTCTTTAATTTTTGAGAAAATCGTTTTTACTTTATTTCTCTTGAAAGAGAAGTGATCGTTAGGTCATAGGAGCATTTGTTGTGATTTACAGTTTACAAATAATTTATTTATAAACTATATATATAGACCTTCTTTATTATGTCAAAAAGCATTTAGATTCAATTTCCATGTTGCAACAAATTAAAAAGATAAAATTCTTTAAATGTTTTTTGAAATGTTTGTTCTTTATCTGAAAGATCAAAGGTATTTGAATTAACTTTTCCTAAAACATAGAACAATAAGAAAAAAAAAATCATATTTATGATATTGCAAAAGACTTCCAAATAAAACGTGTCTCATGGCGAAATAACACAAGTACTAACTCGTCCTACGATTTTGCTGGATCTAAGAATAACGTAGTACAGAAAAACAGACTTACCAAGAATGGCGAATGGGCAATACGTAGAGGGCAGGGTACGACGAAGCCCGCGGAGTGACACATCGTTGTACCGGTAAGCTTTGGGCAACGAAAACTATAATCGAAATCCGTTTATCTGGCGCTAACTTAAAACACGTCCATTTAAAGCATCTTTTTACTAAAATCAATGTAATTGTATGTAAATTAAGAGCAATAACACGATAAACCTTACCAGTCCTCACAAAGAAAGAAGAAATATTAAAAATAACACAACACCAACAATCAATGAACTACAATAAAAGGATAATTCAGTGGTTGATTACTACCTTCCATGTTAAAAACTATACGGGTTTCATATACCCCATAAAAAAAAGTTTTAAAAAAAAAACTATATAAAGATAAGATATGACTTAGAAAACTTGTTACTACGTCACTTTTCTGTAATTCTATTTACTTTTACTAATAAATTTCTCTTAACAAGCCACTAGTGGCTCTATGTTATGTTAAACCACAGGGCTCAAAGGAAAAAAAAAAGAATAGTTAAGAAAAATGGAAATTAAGCATGGCTTCTGGACATGCTCTTGAGAAATGTTGAACTTTTTGTGAGTTCTTTGAGTGGTTTTTCTGTAAACCTAATTAGGTTATAAGTGAAAGCACCAACTATAGTACCCAATATTGGCCCAACTATGTAAACCCAAAGCCCTTTGTACTCATGCATCACAATTGCTGGCCCAATACTCCTTGCTGGGTTCATTGATGCTCCTGATACTGGCCTGCAATTTTTTAAAATTGGTCCTTTAGAATGGCTTAATAATGAGAAAGAAGAATTAATCAAAATAGCCGCTCACTCAACCGCTAATATTTAAAGTGGCCGGTAGATATATAATATATGTATTATCCATGTATAGCATATGTAAAACCATATATAATTAGTGTATAAATTCATATATACCAGCTAAGAAAAGTAATGAATTCAACCGGCTATTTGTGTAAAATTTCGAGAAAGAAGAATTTACCTAAATAGTCATCCACCGAAAAAATAATCGTCATATGTATAGTATATGTATATATGTGTGTAGCCGTATATAGTATATAATATACATATACTGGCTACGAACTATAAATCATTTTGGCCGAACGACCAACTGTGCAACTTCGCCCTGCTTAATGGATAATGATTTGCAACAAGACAAGTTGTATTTTTTCACACATTTTGAGAAGGTGGGGAAAAAGTGATTCACTATCAACTTACTCTTATTTTTTCACCCATCTAGTATCTAGAATCTTCTTATACCAACTAACTGCGTAAGGCATGTAATGAGAAGTAGTCGATTTTCGAATATGAGATATCTTATTAAGGACGTAGAACCTCACTTATTTCACCATATTTCTTAGTAATTATTGCTTGTTGGCTTACTCTTGTTTCATGCCTTGGTAGGACTTATACATGATAAATGATAAATGAACGTTTTGGTAAGGTTAAAATGGATGATACCTTTAATCGTACACAACTGTAGTTATACTTGAGATACTTTTCTTTCCTCAAATTATAAGTTGAAAATGTTTATTGGTCAACTTTGCTGCTTTCAAATAAATGAATAATCTATTACTTTCCCTGCTTTACTTTTTCTATAGTGAAAGAAAGAGAAATGTAAGGAAAAATAAATAAGTGAAATTACCCTGCAACCAGAACATTTAGGAGTATTGTCATTCCAATAGCAATTCCTGCAAGCTCTCCAATCTGTTTATAAAATGTCAAAAAAGAAAATGTATTCTCAATTTTAATTAATTGAGGCAAAATATATAAATTTGAAAAAAAGAAGTAACTCAAAAATCACTCACTGATCTGTTGTCAGTGGCAACACCAGAAATGACAAACATTAAGAGGTAAGAGATGATGAATTCAAGAACCAAAGATTGAACATTTGATCCCACTGGAGCTGTTCCAAAAAATGCCTCAGATTTCAAATCAAGCAGCAGATACAAAGTTCCACTTCCAAGAATTGCCCCAACCAACTGTGCCAATATGTATAATGGCACCTTCAATAGACACAACAAACCAAATTTAATTTCGACAACAAAGTACAGACATTCAAGTACGATAACAATAACATCTATGCCTTAGTCTCGAGTCAGCTGGGGTCTACCATATGAATCATTAGTATACATTATATTCTATTTGGCACGTCACATTCCAATACACACAGTATGAAATCGTAACTATCTATGCCTTAGCCTCGAGTCAGCTGGGGTCTGCTATATGAATCATTAATATACATTATGTTTCTATTTGACACATCACATTCCATACACGCGATACGAAATTTTAATCATCTATGTCTTAGTCTCGAGTTAACTGAGGTATGCTATATGAATCATTAGTATACATTATGTTCCATTTGCCACGTCACATTCCAATACACACATTACTAAATTGTAATCATCTATGCCTTAATGAGCTGGGGTTTGCTATATGAATCATTAGTATACATTATATTCCATTTGACACGTCACATTCCAATACGCGCGGCATCATAATCATCTATGCCTTAGTCTCGAGTCACCTGGGGTCTGTTATATGAATCATTAGTATATATTATGGTCTATTTGACACGTCAGGTTCCAATATACTAGGCACGAAATTGTAATCATCTATGCCTCAGTCTCGAGTGAGCTGGAGTCTATTCTATGAATCATTAGTATACATTATGGTCCATTTGACACGTCACAATCCAATACACGCGGTACAAAATTGTAATGCATGATGATTTTACATTCTCTTAGTAATATTGGGTATAAAAGGAAAGGCAAATATGAATGAATGAATGAACCTGTTTGAAGGGGAAATGCCTAAAGATGGCAAAGGCAATGGTAACTGCAGGGTTGAAATGTGCACCAGAAATATGACCAACAGCATAGACCATGACCATAACAATTAAACCCCATGCTACACATATTCCTGGAAATGTTACTGAACCATATGTTTTATTTACTGCTACTGCACCACATCCTACAAATATCAAAAAGTACGTTCCGATCGCCTCTGCTATCACCTAATAAAATCCAAAAAAAAAAAAAAAAAAACGAAAATTGTAATCACAAAAATTTGTATATCCTTGAGAAATTTTTGTTAGGAATTTGCAAACCTTTTGAATGATAATGACAACCTCAGGTGAGGTGCAGAGGCTTGAATCTTCTTCATTGGCATGTTGTTTATAACCTGAGCAATTCCCTTCTTCAACTGCTTTTATGTCTTTTTTTGACATTCTAATCAATAATTTCTTTTGAAAGTTTATTAAGAAAAATAATAACAGTTGGAAAATCAACTTTTACTCAGAAGGTAGAAATACGGCTAAATGATGTGAATATGGTTAAGGATTAAATCAAGGATTGATGGTTTTGCTACTTTTCAGAGTGTTGTATGGATAGTTTGTTTTTATTGGTGAAAATCTTATACTTCAATTCTTCTTGTTTTCATTTATCCATTTCTTTTTTAATTTTTTTATCTTTTCTTATTATCACACATTTTCCCAAATTGTGTCACATAATTACAGGATGACAAGTATATCCTTGTAGTCATAATAATTCAAAAGGATGAACTGTATTGTAATTTTACCTTAAACATTTTTCTCAACCACATTAAAGCTAAATTAAAAGGACAAATAAATGATCAGGAAAAAAAAAAAACGAAAAAAGAGAAGACAATTGGATTTCAAGTTTGCAACTAAACATAAATTTTCAACTTCCTTATAGGTAATGCACTCAAGCCAATCATTTATCACAAATATTCAAACATTCAGGGATCTAACTAGTATAAGCTTGAATATAGATTTGACTAGAAAGAAGAAAAAGAAAACATAAAGTCTAGAAAAAGGACAGCTTAGTACACAAAATATCTCGCGTTCACGCAGGGTCGGGGAAGGCTGCACCCTAAGGGTATATGATGTAGGTAGCCTACCCTAATGCAAACATTAGTGGCTGAGTCTATGGCTCGAACCCGTGACCTATACGTCACATGGAAATAACTTTACCGTTGCTCCAAGGCTTCCCTTCATAAAATCTCTAGAAAAAGGCCAGCTCACTGCATAAAGCATCTCGCATTCACGTAGGGCCCGGGGAAGGATTGCATCCCAAATGGGGTGTGATGTAGGCAGCCTACCCTAATGCAAGCATTAGTGACTGATTCTACGGATCGAACCCGCGACCAATAGGTCATACAGAGATAACTTTACCGTTACTCCAAGGCTCCGCTTCATAAAGTCCCTAGAACAGTACTTCAAAAATTCAACATGAATTCTGTTAGTACTTCATTCCTGTTCTTCCTGCATTAAAACCATATAAAGAATTCTGTTAGCACGTCATTCCACTATGACTCAATTTTCTACACTACACTTCTATATCAATTAGATTCTAACTGTATAACAGATCTCACAGTTTACAAGCCTTCATATGTGATAAGCAGGTAAAAAGTTAATGAGCGCAGCCTCCCGTTATGCGTGGGGTCGAAGGGTCGAACCACATAGGTATATTGTACACAGCCTTATTCTGCATTTTTAAAAGAGACTGTTTCCACGGCTCGATGGATATATTGATTAAGAATTGGCTAATAATACTCAGAGATGGAATTTTACGTACTACTGTTGAAGATAATTCGAACTTCAAGGCTATCATTTCCACAGCTTTTTTGCTCTTCTTGAATTTTCTTTGCACTAGCGACGGCTGCAGAACTACACCATTGTATTTGGATGAACTTTAGTGTCATTATTTCTCCAATACTATGGGGAATCTCTTCCAAGTTTTGGAGCCCAAACAGGAGTAGCTGCTCAAGCATCGGAAAATTATCACTAGCTGTTTCCCACCTTTCCAGATTATATGTGGACTCAAGTAGTAGATATTTTAGTTTGTGAAACACAACATCTTCATTTAGTCTCCAATCTGTTCCCCAGAATGCATATCGTGTTTTGAGCACCTCAAGATTGGGTAAATTAGCCAGCGCAACCATATCTTCCCATGGAAAATAAGTCCTACTTAATCTCAATTGCTTGAGATTATGCAAGAAAATATCCCTAGGGAGATTGATCGGGTCAATGTTTCGTTCTGCTTTTATGGCTAATGTCTCCAGCTTCTGTAGAAGAATGAGAGAATCAAGAATAGCAGGCCAGTCGGCATGCTTCATATCTACAATCTGTAGCTTTTTTAGATTGGGAGTTCTTCTTAGGATTTCCGCCAAAAAAGGAGAGGAAGGGAGAGCAAGTTTTTGCAAGTTATTGAGAAATAAAGGTTGTTCTCCAATGCAAAGACTTTCTGCCTCAAGAGGATTAGGCATATGTATACCTGTATCAATATCACTAACAATATCTAGATGTCTTATCTCTGACATTGTCCAGATCTCTAGTGGGAGATGAAAGTCCCCCCTTGTAAAATTACGAAGAATTATGGTTTGTAGATTCCACAATTTGGCTAGTGAAGGTGCTTCGTTGATGTATGCAGCAACATATCTCAATAGATCCCGTCGTCGTCGCTCGCTCGGCTCGGCTTCGGCTACGGCTACGGCTTCGGCTTCGGCTTCGGCTTCGGATTTGGATTTGGATTTGGATTTGGATTTGGATTTGGTCAAATGATCGATTGATTGATTAATTTTTTGGACCAAATTTATTTGTTAATAGTAAATATTAACGTAAGATTATCCGTATTTGTAACGGATATTTTCCAATCCGTGTATTGATAATTTGGCAGCCGGATAATGGTCTTCCCACCATGAAGTGCTTGCTCCACAAACATG